TGTGTCACAACATTTACTTTTGTCTTTGTCACCTGCTCTTCTCTGTAGATTTGCTAAGCCCTTCTACAGCTCTGATGGGCTATGTTTCCACAATATCCCAAAGCAAGCTATTTTTATATCTGGGCAGTTTTACCCACTTATGTCTGACTAAGATTCTTTTCTGATTCTCTTGTATGGTCAAGTACTGTGTAGTGACAATTACAGTATTGGATAATTTTGGCAAAATATTGTGTTGTATGGAATTTGAAAACCTTTGGCATAAAAATTTTCAAGAGAAGGAAGAAGTACAAGATTAGAGAAAACAAAATTCTAATTTTCTTAGACCCATTGCTGGATTTATATTTCTTTGGATCTAATTTTCTTCAGGCCCTGTGCATGTGTACTAGTGCGTACTGGCACAGTCACTTTACACAAGGACAAAGAAAGCACATGGATAGAGGCAGAACGTTAAATGAGGGCAAATGTAGTTGTTGTAAACTTTGAGGTCACTACATTTCTCTCTCAATGACATATGTTCTCATTTGCAATTATGGGCAAACAATTTAAAAGTTCTTACCATCTTGATATGGGGAGAAGCAACCAAAATAGTGTTAATAACTCCCATAGCAAAAAGATGAATTCATTTAACAAAGTTTGTTTTTTAATTGGCTTTCACAATTCATGGGATTGGCTATCTGAGACTTTGGGGAGTGTCATGATCTTTAAATAGTTCCTTTATAGGCTCCTGTGATTCCCTTTTAAAAATTATTTTTAAAAAAGTTTTGGAAGCTTCTCTTCTTCACCCTGTTGTTACTTTCCTGAGATTTATCTCAAAATTGGTATGTGGAATTTAATCGCATCAAGTTTAAGAGCAACTCTACATGTTGCCATTCAGAGAGATAAAGGGATTCTGGGCTACAGTTATTCCTACAGTCAAGGCAACCTGGGTTTTTGAGCATGAGGACTTGGGGTTTGGGTGTGAAAGCCTAATATAAAACAAAATAGTGAATTATTGCTGATTATTGGCACTGCTAACCCAAGCACGGGACTGAAGTAGCAAGATAAAAGTGAACATGTTGATGTACAGTTCAGAAAGAGCAGAGAATATAATTGGGCATAACTTTGTTATTTTAGAGTTGGGAGGATCACTTGGGGTCCAGGCTGCAGTGAGCCATGATCACATAGTTGCCCTACAGCCTGAGTGATAGAGCACGACTCTGTCTCTTAAAATAATAATAATAATAAGTTATTTTAATGACCAGGTAGACATCCTTAGATAGAGGTTTTCAGTAATAAGATCCCTAATTAAGCAATATATAGCAGTTAAGCATATGTTCTTTGCGTATTCAAACCTTCAGACTACCAGTGTGCCCTGTGACGCTAACTTTAGCACTAAAAGGTAGCTGCTTCTAACACAAAGTGAGGATTGTAATAGTATCTACTTTATAGCTTTGTAAGGATAATAAAGTAATTATTGGTCACATATCACTGCAAGATAACTAAATCAATCTCGTCATACCCAAAAGCCTTTATCCAACTTAATTATCTACATAGTAAGAAGGCAATTTCTTCCCATAAATATGGTTATCTTCATTACCAAACTATCTTTTCTCTTCTACAACTTTGATTGGCTCTTTTCATGTCTGACATCTGTACCACTCTCACTAATACCTTTAAATGTATCTACTTGTTAATCTGAGCTGTGCAATCTAGAGTTTGAGCCATAGAAGATTCTACAGTTTGACCTCTTGCCTTATAATCTTTGCTTCTTCCTTCCTGTTTGACCAGAATGCTTTTAGTTAAAGTTCCTTGCTCAGTCAAATTAATTTCTGAGTCCAGAAAGTAATTCATACAAATTTCACATTTCTCCTTTAAAATGGAAGTTTTATTTCACGTTTGATTTATCATTACCTTAGGCAGAGACCTGCAATTAATTTCCAAATCAGGTACTCAGAATGGGGTGTTAACCTCAGTAGAGAAGATTATTTCCAGTATAACCTGATGTCCAAGACAGGGCATTATTTAACTCTGTATTTGAAATCTGAAGTAGAGTTAATAACGAAACTTCAAAGAATGTCTTCCCCTATTTCACAACGGTATCCATTTGTAACATAATTCTAGTTCTAGTTTACTGAATTACTTTAAAAAAAAAAATAAGCTAGAGGTGAAGAATGCTAAAGGTTAGAAGTAGCTATGGGTGAATAGAGAATTATAAGGAACTCTATGTGGTTTTTCTTCAGTGTTTACTTTCCTTTTCGTCAGATTTATATTCCAATGTTTTAATAAATTATAGGTTTATTCTAGAAAATAATGACAATTCTAATATTTCACTTTAATCTTATTTGGTCTTTAAAAGTCTCTTAGATTGTTAATATTCTCAGAAGCAAATATTTTTCCATTCAGATTGGCTTTACTTGTAAGAAAGTAAAACTATATTATATAATTTTCAATTAGAATATCACTTTATAGTTTACACAGCTCTTTGAAACGTACACTATCACGAATAAGTACTCAAAAGTCTAGAGAATTCCAGTAAATTGCACAAGGACATTAATCCTATCTGTTTGGATCATCATTATCTCTCTGGGCCTGCAGAGTTTTTGGTACATAATCACCAAAGGTACTCAAGAAGTTGGAATGAATGAACAAACATTATCACAGTGTTTGTTCTACGCTATCACTACTTACTAGTAGTGAAGCCAGAGATTAAACCCTCATCTGATCTCAAACTCTGTGTCCTTATATTAAGGCATCTTGAGGAAATTCACACTCTGCCTTTCCAAGAAGACTGACGAGTCACACAACTATTAATATGGAATATGATCATCTCTTACTACGGAAAAATATTTTTAGAATGATTTTAGAGAAATTCTGCCTGTACTTGTAGAACCAAGTTGCAGACAAACTGAAATGGTTTTAGACTAGACAATTTTGACTTACTACACTTATCACTTTCCACATTTTTGTCAGGCTTTGTATACATATAGCTACAGTATCAGATACTTCAAAAGGCATCTGATTCTGTGAGGTAATACCAAAAAACCAATTACTAATTTTTATGTTTTTAATGATCTCAATATTTGAAAGTCGTGCCATGAGTGTCTGTCTCAACTATTGACTATTATTGTAGACACACAGGGAACTCCACATAGCTTCTGGGATCTGGCTAATCTCTTCTTTGAGAAAACAGATTGTTTCCATTTTACTTTGAATAAAATTAGATAAAATTACCATCATGCACTTATATCAAAATTATAAAATCATTTTCAAATTCTGTACATGGACATATATACATATGCATACATATGTCAATAGATAATTTCAAAAACAATTTTATATCCATATTTATTCTAGAAAATAAAAAGGCTCGTTGTTAGTGTGTATCTATATTTTAAGACTAAACTTATAGTTCCCTAAAATTATAAACATGCTTAAGCCTATGAGGAGAATATTATTCAAAAAAGTCAATTTTGCATGCCAAGTCCATAATAAGGTTAAAAACTAAATTTTCATTTAATTAATTTCTAATAAACTTGCAAAATTACACTGATGTTTCCCAAGGGAATGCTTATTTTCCACAAATAAGTATTGCATATATACTTGCTATTTTCTTGGTCTGAAGTGGATTTCAAGGCTTGCTCCTCATTTTTCTTTAGTCTTTCTGAAATGTAACCTGTCTAGTGAGGCTTTTACTGATCACCTGATTATAGTCCATATTCCTGTGTTCTGCTTTATTTGCTCCATGGCACTATTCAATAAATATTTTCCTTTGACCAAGGTGGTTATCTTCATTACCAAACTATCTTTTTTTCTCTTTTTGCTGTCTCTCAACTTCTCCCCTCTTAATTCATAAATATGTATATCATGTCAGATGTCACTAACTACATATTTTGCTTATTTATTTTTAATTGCCTATGCCAACACCACCCACCCCCACACCTTTAGGATGTAAGTTACATGAGGATGGGACAGTTTTTATTTTTTTCTCCCATTGCTTTGTCCCCAGAGTCTATAAAAGTGAGTGGCACAGAAAAGACAATCTATAATTATTTGTTGAACGAATTAATTACATCAGAGATGCTATTCAATAGGCTTTGGAAAACTCTTCTGTTATTGTGATATTAGCTCATATACAGTAAGAAGAGCTGTAAAATCATCAGCAAAGGTAAGTAGTTCAAATATAAGTTTAATTAGAAAATCTACTATGCTATCTGAAATTGCATTTAGTCCCGTCTTTGAAGAGCAGGTAGCCAATCATTTTAAATAATATTAAACTTAACTTCTGTAAAAGATAAATCACATTGGAAAGGGTAAAGAGTACAACTGTGATACTAAAAGAATCACTTTTGATTAAAAAGGATGTATGCTTCTGGGATTCTAGGAAGATACATCTGTCATTGCTAAATGATTTAACTCACTGTTGTATACTTTACATTTTTTTGATACAGATAAGCAAATGCAATATCTCGCTCACACTAGTTTCTTACAAATTAATTTCAGTCTATTCTTATTGCTGCAGATACCTCAAATATATGGCCTCATGCCATTCCTTTATTTGATGTCATTTATCAAAGTAACTGGGCTGATTTCCATATCTTTACACCTGGCCAAATTGCCTGTCCCTTCAAGATTCTGTAAATGGTGCTAGACCCCTAATTTTCAACTATTAATAATCTGAATGTGTAAGTACAGTATGTATGATTCTCAAAGTTCTATTAAGGTATTGCACATTTCTACAAAAACATTTTAGAATACAATGGCAAATCTCTCGGCTTCTCTCTTTCTATCTCTCGACTTTTCTCTTTCTATATAGGTTTATCTGTTAGATAAATCTCTCTCTGTATCCATCTATCTATCTTGGCAAAGCATAAAGTCAAAAGTAAATAATAATTCAGATAATTATCTAAGTGAGCCCAGGGAAAATATTAATTCTTAAGAATCATGTGAATACTCATTGTCTTATAGCCTCACCTTTTAATTTTTATATTGATTAGAATCAAAGCATCTATTTCATTTGCAAAATGGTAAAAAGCTTATTCTTAATCCATCTCAATTATCTTTTTTTCCCTCTAGATAACTTCAGCAGCCCAGATTTGGTTAATGGATGGAGTAATAAGTCAGTGGTTACTGAATTCATTTTGTTGGGACTGTCTAGCTCCTGGCGACTCCAAGTCTTCCTTTTCTTTATCTTCTCTGTGTTTTATGGAGCTGCTGTGTTGGGAAACATCCTTATCATCATCACAGTAATTACAGACTCTCATTTGCATTCCCCAATGTACTTTCTTCTTAGCAATCTCTCTTTCATTGATGTGTGTCAGGCTACGTTTGCCACTCCCAAGATGATTGCAGACTTCCTCAAGGAACACAAGACCATCACTTTCCAGGGATGCATGTCACAGATCTTTTTCTTGCATGTTTTTGGGGGTAGTGAGATGGTGCTTCTTGTTGCCATGGCCTATGATAGATACATTGCTATATGCAAACCTCTGCACTACATGACCATCATGAACCGGAGGGTGTGCACTGTTCTAGTGGGGGTTTCCTGGGCCATTGGCATCTCACACTCAGCCAGCCACCTGGCATTCACAGTCAATCTGCCTTTCTGTGGACCCAACAGGGTAGACAATTTTTTCTGTGACCTCCCCCTAGTGATCAAGCTTGCCTGCTTAGACACCTATGTTTTTGAGATCCTGGTGCTCACCAACAGTGGTCTGCTCTCACTTACATGTTTCCTCCTTTTGCTCGTTTCTTACACTATCATCCTTGCTACTGTGCATCGCCAAGCCTCTGATGGGACGTCCAAGGCCCTTTCCACTCTGTCTGCCCACATTACTGTTGTGCTTCTATTCTTTGGCCCATTAATATTCATCTATATTTGGCCCTTTGAAAGTTTCCCAGTTGACAAATTTATCTCTGTGTTTTTTACTGTCTTCACTCCTCTCCTTAACCCCATGATTTATACTCTGAGGAATAAAGATATAAAGGAAGCCATGAGGAAGCTAAGGAGACGACATGTGGGTTCCAAGCAGGGTTTTTAGACAATTACAAAGAAGTAATACAAATTTCTACTTTTGGGCTTTGAAATTAACATATTTGATTATTGTTACTGTGTTTATATCACAAATAGTTTTTTACTAGACTGAATTAGAGGGCCTGAATATGGTGATCTGGAGTTGGCAAACACAGTGCAGAATCTTATGATGCCAGTTCCTATATTCTGTGTCTCACAACATCCTCCCTAAAGCTGCAACTACATGCATTAAAACTCATAAGCAGTTTTTCCCCTTATACAGGCACCATTAAAAAATATCTCTTTGAGAGGCAGAGGTAAGAGGATCACTCAAACCCAGGAGGTCGAGGCTGCAGTGAGCCAAGATCGCGCCACTGAACAGAATTTGCTTTGACATAAAAGGCGATATGAAGACTCTAAAAAGTGCTGCTTTACCTCATCAGTTGCAGTTCATAATTATTCTGGCTAACAACTTAATGTTATAAAGGTAAAATTTTATATTCACAAATAAGGCATTCACGCTTATCAAATCTGCCTTTTGTCATACTTATTATTTGTGCTGGAATTTAAACATATGAAATACTATAGTATCAATTATAGGATAATAAATATAACCAAGTCCATAGTTAAAATTAGAAGACTACTCTTACACTCTCTGGGAGAAATGTCATAGCACTTATAAACTCTCATTACGCCACTAATAATAAACCTGTCATCAACTGACAATGACTGCAAGGTATCTGAATAGCCAGTGATTTTGTTTACTTAATTTCATTTGGGAGTGTAATTTTCAAAGTAGTTGCAGAAAATATATACATTGGTAATTAGAAAATATATCACATGCTTCTCTTTTTCTCAAACTTTAATTGAAACTTCAGAAATAGCTCATCAAACATTAGAAAGAATAAGAGAAAGAGGGTCATCACATGATTGATTCAGTCTTTTATCAGCCACAGCATCTGGCACTGTCATCACTGCATCATATAATTCGAGCTTGAAGAGTTTATTCTGTTTATGATAGCTTCCAATTCAAACTTGTAATTTTTTGAACTAAAGATATGATTATGTGTTTTGTTTTTATTACCTAAAATAGATCGTGAGTCCCTAGGGCAAATATTGTCCTATCTTTCACCATAGTTGTTAATGTATCAGAAGTTTAACACGCAAGCACATGCAGCAAGTGCCATAAAAAGGATACGCTTCCCAGAGCAATTGATATTCAGGTGATTTCTACCCTTGTTTTTCACAAATGTGGCATTTTGAGTGATGGGGTTGGAAGCCAGTGAAAAACTAGATTGTCCATCTCTAAGTCTTAGCTTATGTGACTCATTGATTGCACTCTGTAACAATCTGATCTCGTTTTCGCATTTACTTTTCCATGTGTGGAATTACTTCATTGGGTGCTACTTTACTAAACTGACATTGATTAAAGGTTTCTATCAATAGAATTATAATGGGCAATGACAGTTATCTAAGTAAAGAGGTAAAAGTCATAGGCCCTTGATCCATAAAAGCTTTTAAGCTTATCAGGATAGCAATAAAATGTTTATTAACAGATAATAAGGGCAAGTAGAATATATAATAAAACACACGTTGAATTTGTAGGTTAGTGCAAAAGTAATTGCAGTTTTCACAACTAAAAGTAATTGCAAAAACCTCAATTGTTTGCACCAACCTAATAATAATCCCGTTGTGTTAATGCTCAGTTTTGTCCAAAGCAACTCAATGCATTTTAGCAATTTTTAAAACTTAACTTATCTCAGAATATGTGTACACATAAAAGAGATGAAGAAAGACCTTTGGCCTTGTAGAAATAATTGCATATTAAAGAAGCAGAGAATCACAGAAATGTATAATGAAAAACGACTTAATCTTTATAAAGGTTGCAGAATTACATGGCCAGGAGAGGACATTTAGCTGGCAAACCACCAGAAAATCAGATAAGTGACATTAACTTAACGAATTGCGCCAGTTTAAGTTTTGACCCCATACTCATAGACCTAGAAACCCCAAATTGTTAATTGCAAGAAATTTGAAGAAATTTGTCAAATTATAATAAAAAATATAATTGTGAAATTAATTAACCACAGCATCATGATTAGAACAGAAGTCAAATTACTTGGGAGTGGTTTGATAAATCTGTGTTAAAGTGAAAAGTTTTGGTTATTTGCTTGACATGTGTGAGGTTACCAGACTCTGAAAGCCTGATAGAAAAAGATCTACCTGAACAATGTTGAGATAGCCACTGCTATCTGTTATCTTAATTACTCCTTCTGTTATTTATCCACATAATTGGTGCTGAATATAGTCTTTCTTTACGTGTGTTAATATCTCTTAACAGGTTAAAATCAAGACACAGCCAAGACTCATGCCAAGAGAACATTGGCATATGTTCACTTACCCATTATATATGTTTTTAGAACTTAACCCTCTCTCTCGGACTTATTTTATTACTTATAAAATTTTGTGAGTCAAACATTATGAGTAGAATATTTTTAAAGATATATAAATATAAAACAAAAGTAGCAAAAAAATAAATCTATAGATAATAAAAATGAACCCCTATTAGATTAATAAAGAGTAAAACAAAAGGATAGTACTAAATAAGACTGAAAATTTGAAAACATGGAAGCTCTATTTGGTCAAAAATTACTGAACAACTTTTATAAAGCAATTTGCTGTATATTTCTAATTATGTCCATATTCATGAGCTGATAATGGTATTTCTAGGAGTCTATCTTGAATACTTTCTTTCCTGATTTTGTAACATAAAACTGAATGCATATATATATATGTATTTTGGACATGATGAACTCTGGAAAATAGAAATTGGTAAAGCGAGTCATAAGGAGAAAAGAAACTGTTGATTTTCTCAGTGCAAGAGTATCATCTGAACACCTACTATCTACCCACAAAAATTGAAAATTAAAATTAAAAAATTAATAAAGTATCATCTGAAACTGACTGACATTGTTTCCTCTTTCTGAGAGAACGTTGCTCCACTCACATAATGAGCTAGAATAATTCTGACTTCAAAATTTGAAAAGGGTCATCTAAGAAGGAAAAATTATAGGCCAATCTCACTCAAAAACAAAAATACAAAATTCCTTTAAAAACAGAGCAGTACAAATTCAGGAAAATATAATAATAAAATATTATCCATTTGAGATTACACAGCAATGCAATGTTGATGATGAACTGAATGAACATTTGATTATAATTTAATATAATTCACTACATTAACAGAATAAAAAAACTATATATAGTATGTATATAGCTTTATGTATGTATATATGTGTATATAGTATATAGATATAGTATGTATATAGTATGTATATGTAAATAGTATGTATATATACATACTATATATAGTTACTTCAATAGGTGGAAAAAACTGTTGAAAAATAATTATTGTTGTAAAGAAAACTTTCATAAATAAGGAATATAAAAAGTGTATATGACTGCAAAGTTTAAATCAGCCATAAACCCACAGTGCTATCTAGGAATGACACTGTTATCTGCTCAACTTATTTGAAATACCAATTCAGAAGGCAAAAATAATTTTAACGAAAAAGCCAAAAATGTAAACATAAAGTAGAAGGAGGTGAGGTTCACAGCACATGAGGTAAGGAGGTGAGGAGGTGAGTTTCACAGCACATCTAATTCGAAAGGACTTTAGAGGTCAACTAGTTGAGGGGTTGTCAAATTTATCTGATCATGAAAATCCCTGGAGACTTTTTTTTCTTTTCAATTTTTATTTTACATACAGGGGATACAAGTGTAGATTTGTTACAGGGGAATCTTGTGTGATGCTCACACATGTGATGAGATCCATACTCCAAAACTCAAATACTGAGTATGGATCTCACAGGTAGTAAGCATAGTACCTGAGAGGTGGTTTTTAAACCAAGCTCCCTTTTCACCCTCTAGTAGTCCACAGTGTCTATTGTTACCATATTTATATTTATATGAGCTCAATGTTTAACTCCTACTTACAAGTAAGAACATGCAATATTTGGTTTTCTGTTTCTGAGTTAATTTGCTTAGGATTATGGCCTCCAGCTCTATCCATGTTGCTGCAAATAATGATTTCACACTTTTTTATAGTTGTGTAGTATTCCATGGTGTATATTTACCATTTAAAAAATCCAATCTGTTATACCATTGATGGGCACCTGGGTTGATTCCATGTCTTTGCTATTGTGAATAGTGTAGTGATGAACATACAAGTGCATGTGCATTTTTGGTAGAATGATTTATTTTCTACTGAATATATATCCAGTAAAAATGGTAAAAGAAAAAACACCCTACAAAGTAGAGTGTTATGCCACCAAAAATGATAAAGCAAGGAGCTAAACAAAAATCCCTCTTCCATAAAGAAATGAAAAATTGACAAAAATTTACAAAGCCACAGTTTCCAAACCCTAGAGATTAAAGAAAGGCTTACAGCAACCCAGGGAACATTTATTAAAGAAAAGTAGTTCGGTTCTTAACAGTAAATACTAAAAAGAGCCCGTTAGGTTGAAATAAAAGTCCTAGACAGTAACTTGATTACTTATGAAGAAATAAAGAGGACTAATAAAGGTAAAGGCATGTGTCAATGTAAAATACATAAATATATATTTTATTTGTAATACTTTTTTCTCTTATCTGATTTAGAAGATAGCTTCACAAAGAAACACCTACAAACCCACTTGTTGTTCAGCTCAAAATATATAAAGATGCAATTTGCATGACAATACCAGCTGGGAGAAGAGGAAAAAACAGAGCTATATATCAGAAGCAAAGTTTTAAAAATATTATTGAAATTAAATAGATATTAATCCAAATTTGATTGTTATAAGTTAAGGTGATAATTGTAAGCTCCACGGAAACCACTAATACAAGAGAATTAAACCAATATGCTAGCAAATATATGTTTAACATGAAGGAAGAATATAATAAGAAATAGAGAAACATAAAAGGTACAAGACATATAGAAACAAATAACAGAGTAGCAGATGCCCTACCTTATTATTAATGACTAAA